CCGTTGATGCAACGAAAACCTACGGGTTAACCCATGCACCATCAATAACAGCAGTATACAGCAGTAAATACCAGCACTCGGCCGCTGAGTTAGTACGTGTAGACGAGCAGTCCTCGGGTTCTTTCGTATTGAGCAACACCCCCCCCGCACTTCAAGCAGGACTTTCCTTCGTTCCTTCTCTGATGGTGCTGAGCTTTGCCGCCCTCCATGCGGCGACCATGCCTAGCAGTACTGCTGTTGTAAATATACAAAAAGTTTGGTGCCTGCACGCCCAACATTCCCTGCACCTAATGTTTGGCGTATGCATTTGTACCTCTTGTCCCAGTACTTGTGCGATAACGATTTCGAAGAACACAAACGAGGCAGCACCATCACACATCTTCCCGCACTTCGGGCAGAATTGCTATTATCAGTGCTCTACTGCTGTACATGCATGATCACATGTAGTCTATCATGGCTGCTGTATGCTCCCAAGGTCTCCTGAAAATGTATGGCAACTCAAACGTATTGTGATTTGCAGAGTCGACAATCTGCTGTGAACGGAAGAGGAGTTTGCCCTCAGCCTCGGTACATGTATCCTTTGGCGTCCCGTGGCAAGGTCCATGGGACGGTCCGTACTTTGTCTAGTAGAGTATATGGTACATAAATTGATGCATGCATGACTACTGCTGCTGCTGCAGTATGCCGAGTTCTTGGGGAAGAAATCTGCAGTCCCAGGAATTGCGATGATGCCGCATGTGCACCAGACAACAGAGGTATCCTGTCCTATGTCGAACACGCACTCTATATTATTGCAGTTGTCCTCAATTTTCTCTCATCTACACCGTCATGTTGCAGAGGTGTGCCAGTAGCAGCATAGACTATCCCACCAACCCAACACTTCAAGCCGACAGTGCCTTTCCTTCATCCCCCGAGAGCACTCATGTATACGTACTTCTCTTCTACGGAGCTCGCGTATGCATTTAAACGTGTCCACGAGATCAGGCTAGAATGCGAGAAGGATGAGAAAGTACTTCGGATGCGTTGCCTTTTGCTGCTGTGCGATGGCGACACAATCCATTGCCAATCTGGGAAACGACGTTCCTTTTGGCCATCCACAACGAAACTTTGGGTGTTCACATTTCTTTTCTTGCGTACGTCACGCTGCACGCGCTGCACGCATGAGCAGGCTCCTTCTGAGGTGCGTCAGGGCAACCTCGCACCGGTCTTCGAGGTCGAGCCTTCCGTCCTGCCCGTGAGCAACGATGGCGACAGCAGCTCCGACGAAGACGCCAACCCTGCCACCGCTGCCTCAGCCGACAGCATCGCCACGTCCGCTACAACCACCACCACTACCGCTACCCCCGTATGCGACACTGGCAACACGTCGGACCCCATGCTCGCTGCCATGAGGGCTACTCTTGAAAGAGATGCACCGGGCAAGACCAACACGATCGACGAGGTGGGAGCCCCTCGCGATATTGAATGCTGGGGATCCTTGACCTCCACCTCCACCTTGACCTGCACCACCGGCAACAACGATGCTCTTCCCGTTCAGCCGCTGCCCGGCGTTGACAACGACCACACCACGAATGAAAAGGACGACTCGGCCGACCCTGTTATTCCTACCCCGGAGCCCGTCGTTTTGGAACAAATGGACACGACGGACTTGTATGACTTCGTCCGTCATGTCCATTTCTTCCAGAGTGACTGGCTTCGAGGAAGGAGCCAGAACATCGACTGTGTCGTCTTTTGCGTCGTTGGCCGCGTCGTTGGCCGTGTCTGGCAAGGGCTGAACGGGAAGAGCTTCTTTGTTGCCGGTGGTCCAGGTCAAGGTGGAGGTCGAGGTCAAAAGGTGAAAGTAATCTGAAATGCACACAAAGGACAGTCTACAGTTTTGATTGCTGATTATTGTTGTGGTAGAAACGTGTGGTAATCTCTCCGTACTGACATTTTTTTGTAAATTTTTCCGCACCGATGTATTTGTGAAGGTATCGAAGTGGAATGTACACGATATGGAAGAAGCGGCGGGGAAAGTAGTTGTCGGTAATTTGACGACTTGTTCGCATATTGCAGAATAATGATGTTGTGAAGAACAGATAAAGGCCGAGGAATTTATAACGTTGAGCGATGAGCTTCACCACATCCACCACCACCTCCTCGACCTCAACCTCAATCTCCACCACCGGCAACAACGACGCTCTTCCCGTTCACCAGCTGCCCGATATGAACTACGACGCCGCCACCGACGAGGAAGGCCACACAATCGGTGTTCTGGCTCCTTCGTCGTCGAAGCCAGTCGTTCTGGAAGAACCGAACGAGGACAACGGGGTTGGCTCGCCCATGGCCATCACTGCCGCCCCCGAGCACGTTGGCTGCTTCACGTTGACCCGGATGGAGGTGTTCCTTCGCAACCGGATCATAGACAACCCCAGAGGTTCGACACTCGTGCGGGTGCACAGCAAGGCCGACATGACCCCCCTGGTAAGCTGGTGGTCCCGTCAACTCAGCGACCGATGCCCGACTGCGCTGCATGCTGAGTCCCACCTAGACACGCCGTGCATTGCTCGCGAGGAATCAAGCTGTTCCTAGGCTTACAAACTGTTGGTCGTGGGTTGATAGCGCGACCATTCTCCGCGCGATCAAAGAGTTCTTCTTACACTCGACCCTGCTGTCTTTTCACACAATACGCCTCTGTTGTCCTCGCTGATTGGCCCTACTCCCCGTTCCCCCATCTCTCTCAGGAGTGTGCTGGTATCTGTGCGGGTGGGGGAAGCGATGGCTTCGCGGTCAGCAGAGGCGACCTGTTCACCTGCTTGTCGGAAGGAGACTCTGGTGGTTTCCTCCGCGGCAGGGGTAATGGTGTGTGCAACTCCCCCTGCACCGGCGACGCTTCACAAACGTGCGGAGGACATGCCGCGTTTGACGCGTACAAGATAGTCTCGAGGGGAGACGACGAGAACGCCGACGGCATCGCCTTGGGCGACTCACCCTCCACCACCGATACCGCCGCAACCTCCACAACTGCCCGTAAGACAAGGGAATGCGGGGGTTTCACACTCACTGTACCGTAGCTGATTCTCGTTGTGTGTGTGCGTGGGCAAAGGTCGGCCTGCACAACGTTGCTATTTGGCGCGTAAAGCACGGGCCTCACGGTAGCTCACGCACTCTGTCTGTGTGTGCATACGTGGGCAAAGGTCGTCGAAACGGTCTATAAAAGGCTGCCAGCGCTTAGAGCGCGGGTTAGGTACCATCACGTGGTGCTTCTTGTCCCTTTCCTTTTCTTCCTTGAACTACGTGATGTACGTGTGTTTTGGACGTTGCTTGTCGGAGACCTACCAAGTTAGGATAAGTCCAGCTATTGGGACGTGGGTTCTGAGTTTCGCAACTACGAGCAGCCCCCTTGTCTCTGTCTCTGGCAACGTCGTGAGGCTAATCGCTCCATCTTTTTCTTCTCAAAGTGCCGGTTTGCATTTTCAAGCACCACCAGTCTCATTTGACATATCTGACGCCTTTTTTGGCAGGTGTACAACCCTGCGTGCGAAGAAAATCTAGGATGCGCCCTTTCAGCGGTGGTGTTTAGTGCAGGGGGTGCTCAACGCCTACCAACAACACACAACCGAACAATTGTTGTTGGAAAAAAATGACAATGGAAAGCGAACAATACCGACATGTTAAATTAACGCGTGAGCCAAGATGACCTGATTCGGAAAACCGGTTTTCTTCGCTAGCTCATCGCCCCCTTATCCGCCTTGTTTCGCCCCGATATTGTTCTTGTCGTGATGGCATAATGTAAATTGTTGTTTGAACAGTACAAGTTTTCAGCGTGGGGGCAAAGCCAACAACCACCCGCATGCCTCACCCGGAAATGTTCCGTTGTTCCCAGGGACGCTGAGTTTGTGTTTTTTTTTCTTGGCACCTCTATATTCCGAGGAAATTGGTTGATGTCGATTGATATACCAACATTATCTCCGCACGCCCTGTCGATTTCCGACTCGGGTACCCCCGTTCTTGCCAACAGAAGAAAAGGAAGCGTTAAACGATGCACCCAGTGACGTCGCTGGTGCCGGCACCGCCGACCTCAGCGATGACTACGCCAGCAGCAGCAGCAGCAGCAGCAGCAGCAGCAGCAGCGGCAGTGCCAGCAGCAGCAAGGACGATGGTGACAACGACGGCAACAACAACAGCAAGAATGGCGACGGCACAGTGATCAGCAACGACAGTAGCAGCAGCAGAAGCAGCAGCGGCGGCAGTGGCAGCAGCAGCAACGACGACGACGACGGCAACGGCAACGGCAACGACAATAACAATAGCTTCAACAACGGCAACGACGACAACAATAACTTCAACAACGGCAACGGCAACGATGACAACAATAGCTTCAACAACGGCAACGACAACAACAATAACCTCAACAACGGCAACGGCAACGACGACAACAACAACTTCAACAACGGCAACGACAACAACAATGACTTCAACAACGGCAACGACAACAACAATGACTTCAACAACGGCAACGGTAACGACAACAACAATCGCTTCAACAACGGCAACGACAACATTAACGGCAACGGCAACGGCAACGGCAACGGCAACGATGGCCCAGGCCCGGAAGACTTCACCGCCGGCGACGAAGCATCCAACACCCAAGTGGTGAGAAACAAACCGGAGAAACTTGCTTACCTCTCTGAATGTGGCAATCATTCTCTACAGTTAGTTGCATGGTGTTGCGGCCCGGTGGGTCAGTAGCGGACTTGGTGAACTTGAGCTTGAGGCATTTTTCAACTGTGCGGTAGAGACAACGAGCAATCTGGATGTCAATATATCAACCCGGTGGAAGATTTGTGCTTCATAGACGCGGCGGTGACGGACGAGGTAGCCTCAAAGTCAGGATTCCAACATCCACTCACTCACCCACCCACCCGCTCATCACACACGCGCGCTGCGGGGGCGTTGCACCGCTCCGTACAGGACGGATCGGTTGCCCCACCTCCACAGACCCGCCGAAAAGCGTGTTTATGATCCTCCTCCAAACCCTCGTTGTACAGATTCACCAGGGGACTGTAAATGCCAAGACCTTCGTCCGATGGTGGAGGGCACGTCAGCTCACCCTCGTGGACGCGTCAACCCTCAAGCTGTGTAAAATATCGCGCAGAGGACAGGAGAAGTCTTGCCAGGTATGTAACTTGCCACCACCGCCCTTAGTTTGCTTTCCCCCATGTGTTGCACCCAACAAACTCATTTGAGGTTGAAAACAAACGAATCTCATTATTGCTCTCATGGAGCTCGCATCAGGCGTTCATGCAGTAGAGACACGTGAGGTAGAATCTAGGCCCGACTTGTGATTGATGCTCAACAAACAGTCCCTTCCTCCCTCTCAAAAAACTCCATGGGAACACAGGCCATGTACTCGGAAAGCCTGTCTGGGCAGTCAAGAGCACAGACATAGGTGTGGAATACTGTGCGGCAAATCACCCCCATGCCTTGCACAGCAGTCAAGTATTCGCACCTCTCTCGTCCTGTTTTTCCCTGCCATTTTTTCATAACCCTCTCTGCGTGTTATTCTCGTTTGACGTGCTGCCCGGCAACCCTTAGGACATGCCCTTGGATAGTTCGACCGAGGTGGTACGGGTCGAGGGTAAGCACGGGAGGCCCAGGAAGGACGGACGCTCCGTGTTCCGTGTTTCGACGGGATCTCCCCGAGGCCTGAAGAACAAAGTGGTGAGAACAGGGAGTTTTCCGTGCGGTACACCTCGTTCACGTCTCGGACACTAATCTGTAGTCGGTAAATGGTCACGGTGGTACAGGATGCTGTGCTCTCTCGCGTGCTCTCGAGGCAGCTAGCGTGAGATGCTCTTGTCGTTTGACGCTCGCCCTCGTCGTTTCAGGATCAACCACGAATATGATCAGTCGCAACGAAGTAGTGTTCGTGTTCCTGACAAGGTGTGCCCATTTTCCTTGGAAAGTACCACCGTTTGTTTTCCTACAAGAGGCATCTGTGGGCAAGGTTTTCGCTGCTAAACGTGTTGCAGTAACGATTCAAGCCAGAGCTACAATAGCTTATGCTGACAAAACCATCTGTAGCCGTTTGCTCTCCGTCACGGCTGCTGTTCGTCCTGACATTGATGGTCCTTTTTCCCATCAACAGGGTGTACAACTCACACGCCCTTGTCTCGCACTGCTGTTGTTGCTAACGATACCTTCACAGTGGGACTTCGATGCGGGCAGCTCCCTAGCACTGGACGCGTGGATTTCTCTTCTGGAGGGTGTCACAACGCTTGATTACCAGAAGGAGGCCGATTTTTGGGGGGTAAGTACTCGTTGTTGTTGTTATTTAACTATCATGGTCTACGTGTTTGGGGGCGGCGGCGGCTTGGCAATGCTGTCGTTGTCGCCGTCGGTGTTGGCGTTGCAGTTGCCGCTCTTCAAAACCTTGTCGCTTCTGTGTCTGTATTCTATCCGGTAGCCAACGGTACGGTAGAGTTCCTCCTACCACGGCACGGAAGCGTGCGGTAACAATACTAGCCTTCAGTTCCACGAAGCACCTCACTAGCAGACAAACCCGATCGCCATGTCTTCCGTTCCATGCACATATCCAACTCTGCAACATGCTCTCGTGCGACACGTAACTATTGCAGGACACTCCGCGGGCTGGCAACCCGGGTGACTCTTTCAAGTTCTCGATCGAGCTCGGGCCGTTCACGTTCGCCCCCACGCCCGCCTTCCGCGGCGACAGCATTTCTGTCGATGACTACCCGCTCATTCCGGGTCAATTCTTGTCGACGGCACCGGTCGTCGATTCCGCTAACCTGGAGGTGACGGAGGTCGGGGACGTGATTCTTCGGCAGGGCGACATCCCGGCCTACCCAACAAACCCCAAACCGCTCTGGGCCCACCGTGCTACGGGGTCGGTCGGGGGTACTGCCAAGGGGGGGCTAGGGTGTGCTGTGGAGGCATGGTGGGAGAGGGCCACCAACGGTGGCCAAGACATGCGCGTCCCCGTCCATCTGGCCGTGAAGAACGGCAGGTGGAGGGTCGGCCGGGGGTGGATGTGCACCTTGGGCCGAAGCCCCAGAGTGGCTGGAGGGTGGAGGGTCCACCTCCCGTGGGACTCCCACGGGAAGGCCCTCAAGGCGGCGTCCCTCCAGCTTCGCGACGGCAGTGCCGTGATGGCCACCGAAGATGGCCACATCCTGTGGAGCTCTTCGTCCTCGCCGTAAAGGGGGGATGGGTTGCCGTCAGTGGTTGCTTCCTGAGTCATTCGACCATCGGTCGCGTGTGTAAATAGGTGCCCGTTGTTATGACGGAGCGCCGATGAAGGGAAGGAGGGACGCACTGGTGAAGATTTTTTTTTGTGTGTGAATGCAGGACAACAGCCCTTCTGTTGCCCTGTCGTGCACGTTTGGGCTGTTTCAGGTCTGCGATCGGGCGTGACGTGGTTTTCATATCTGTCGTGACTGTTCTTGTGGCCTTGAGAGCTTGTTCTGTGTACATAATTAGTCAAAAATGCTGGCGGTGTCGATCAGTGCACGGGGCGAAGCGCCGTCCGCCTCGCGGTTGTGTTTTTTCATGAGCGTCGGGGGCTGTTATGTCGCACTGAATTTATCGTTGTTTCGGGGGAGTATCGTTCGTTTGCGCTGAACATGCTGCGCTGGACGCTTGTCTGCCGCGGCATCACGCAACGAAGAGGGGAGATATGGTCTTGAGTGATAACACTTGTTATATATTTTTCCGACACCCAACATAACGGTGATTTTTGGCGACAGGGAAGCCGCAACAAGAAACATGTGGCGTATTCGAACAGCTGTTTCTGTTCTACCATATTCCGAAGCAGAAACCGAATGAAGCCCTGATGGGCTTCGGAAACTCGTTGTTGCTTTGATGCTTTCGGTTCTTGCCAAACGAACTACATGATTTCGTTGATGTTGGCATTGGCGCTTTCACTGTTCTCATCTATGCGACCGGCTGCCGATACAGGCTTACCACCACAGAGAAGAGCCCCAATTGCTCGCCCCCCCCTAGTGAACTCGGCAACCAGGTTGCCTTTTTTTTTGTTTTTACCTCCGTTTTTTTTTTTGGCGGTAGCCATAATGGTGGTCGAGTAGATCATGTTGTGCGGGGTCGAGAACCCTCACTCCGCGCAAGGGGGATGATCGCACCACGTTGGGTTAAAATGGTCAAGCACCCTCGAGGCAGTTACACAGTGCTTACAACTGTCTC